ATCGCATTTTAATACCAGGTGTAAACGGGGTCAATGTTTCTCCTGGTTTCCATGACAGCGCTGTTTGATCTAATAGAGATCTACGGTTAATAACGGAGAAATGTGAATGCTTCTCACTAGATCTCGCAGCGATGTTATTACCTCAGTGGCGAATTCAAATGTTTTCTTTACCGGATCTCTCAGCGCTGTGTAACAGTGTTGCTTGGTCGAGATCGGCTCGCGCTGCACAGATGTTGCTGGTCCGAACTGATAAACGATCCATGAAGCACATAACGAGGAGCGCAGTTTCGTTTTGCTTTCATTACCCTTGCCATTTGGATGTTGCGCAACGTTGGCCGCGTCAGCACGAATTTTGCCGGCAGGAAAAATGGTCCAAGCAATCGTTCGGTTTGTATGCGTACCGAACCGGAAGCCTCGAACCGAAACGGTTCAATACGAATACATGTACCGTTACACCCCTAATAGAGAGATATAACAGTTACCAAATCGCATAGCTTGAGCACGTAGCATGGCAACATTTAATGTCCGAGTATTTCCACGTGTACCGCGTATGTACACGCCGTCAAATGTCCGAGCGAAACAAAACAAAATGTAGATCTACATCTGGGGAGCGATATTTATTTTTTCCTAGGATGGTAGGAGTGACGGGTAGGTTGGGGTTGAGGTAGGTCATATGCTATATATATATATATATATATATATATATATATATATATATATATATATATATATATATATATATATATATATATATACACTGTGTGATATATATATATATATATATATATATACAATAATAACGTTAAGTCAACGGTATTCATAAACACGCTGAAAAGAGATTATGCGTGTTAATAGCATGCCAAAAATACGTGATGCGTGTCATACGCAATTTCATGAGATCAGTCTGAGCATGGATGTTGTTGTGACTTAACGTTCCCTTCAAAATGATGCAAATACTGAGAAATGTATTATTTAAACCCCTTCTCTCTTGCTCTGGGGAGCTGGAGGAAAATCATTAGCCAGTCGATGAACATAATCGACTGTAATATTCGGCAAATGTTCAAGACATCTGGAGAAACATACATCCTCTACGTCGTCCATCAGGCTACCGGAAACTAGACACCCCATATCGGTTTCGCAGCCGGAACTAGCATATGCTAACGTGCACATAGTCCATATGTTAATCCTCGTCCTGGCTTTTAATTTGTCACTCTCCCCATTTCTTTTTTAGTTTCCTCTGATAAAACCGTTGCCTTCTTCCTTGTAGCTGTTGCTCAGCATGACGAAAACATACGGACGGCAATCAAACGCGCGTTGAGCACTAACGTTAGATTCTGAGGAAGTTGTGGGTGGTGGGGGAAGTGACGTATGCCGTAAAGCGGTCAAATTTTGTAGTTCTTTTTGTGCTCGGGTTCCTACCCGAAACTCGAAGTTACAAAGTGCAAGTAAAAGTGATACAGACACCTTCAGGAGAAGGCATACACGTCATTCAACCTATTGTAAGTCGATCTACCATCTCAATGGGTTTTGGTAATATATTATAAAGGTTGAAGAGTTCCACGGTGTGGCTTTAAGTGGTCGTAAAAAAATGAGTCACTTTCAAAAAAGAAATCACACTTTTGCTCTTCTGTCAAAAATGACTGACCCATAGGAAATGAATGGGAAATTGACAAAAAAAAACAAAACAAAAAAATCTCTGAATTTTTGTATGTACAATCTAAAATTGGCCACAATTCTAAAAAAAAAAAGTACACCGCAGGAAAGGGGTGACACTCTACAACATCTAGAGTGCAAAACAGACACACCCACCAACACACACACACACACATACAAAGACACTTTTATACACACACACCAATAAATTTTGATTTCAAAAAGTATGTTTTGAATTTTTAAAAATAACAGCTTCATCGCAATGTTACGAAACTTGGTGACCTTTATGGCATTATGTATGTGAACACACAAAAATTGAGGTCATGATCTGAGCATGCTAAGTGGTCTTAAAAAAATAGTCACACTTGTGGTCTTTGGTCAAAAATGACCCCCATAGGAAAAGAATGAGAAATTGTAAAAAAAAATTTCATTTTGTTTGATTGTTTCAACTATATATTCAAATCCACCAACAAAAAAAAAATGTGTTCATAAACAGCTGGGGAATTCACATGCCTCTCCATAGAGAGCAGTACATGCCATATAGTGGTTACACCATGATTCTATGCTTGGTGCGGATGGTGCTAATTTTCTTCATGGCCTAGACTCTATATTAAACTAAAATACTGCATTAATATTTTTTTTGAAAAAAATAATATATATATATATATTTTTCCATGGCAAAAATGAACCATAAATATTGTATAAATATTACTAAATTCAATTAAATTGTCTCAAAATACTAAATCAAAAAGAATAAATGTTATAGAACAAAAATAAATTGCATTGGTTTTACTGGGATGGAGAAAGTTTCATTTTTAGGTGTCCGATCACTTATCTAGCCTACTATAAAACTTTTTATGCAAAGTACACATTTCTAGAATTTTTTTTTTTTATCTCCGATTCTGTTATTTTCTTTGTCATTTAAGGGTGACATAGGCCAACACAAACTCTTTTAGGTCTAAAAAAAAATTGGATAGCTGTTAATAGAGTTATGAAACATTATTTAAGAGATTTAAATGAGTAGCTCTCGGCCACTTTCATTTTTAAAAAGTAGCTCAAATGAAAAAAGGTTGGAGACCCCCAAGGTAGATTGACCACGAGCTGTGGGGTTGTGAAATTAAAGTTTCTTCTTCTATAAAAGCTAAGCTACGAAATCAACCTTGTTATTTGCAAAACACTGACATCTCTGATTGGTCAAACTCGCGGTTACCATGGCGACGTTTAACACCCCGAAAACTGCTTAAGCGAACTGTAAAATAATTTCCGTAGTATTTATACCTTTGTCTTTTTTGCTGCTAGGTTAATGTTATTTTGAGCAGAAAAAGAATTATAAGATGAAATGAAACAAACATATGCCAGTGGTGCTGAAAAAACGAAAGATATCGGACAGCAAAAGAAAAGCTTTATTCAGTCTACCAAAAGTGAAGTTTCCCTGCGTGAAAGGGCGAGGCTTATTCCAATGTAAAACGCTGTATAATTGTATATAGTTTTAATCAAATAAGTTTGGATTATTTCAATATTGAGCTGCCTGTTCATGAAGCTGAAAGTGCATGTGATAAAATAATATACCAATGATGCAGGAATCCTTGCTTTTTCTGCTCTACTATGTTTGTTTTATGTGGGTAGGGCCCCATATTAGTTATTGAAACGGGCCCCCAGATGCTTAAGGCCGCCACTGTGTGAGTCAAACAACAAAAGGCAAAGAGAAAATCACTCTGCTCTTAAATGGATAAACTATAGCTTTAATAAGCATTAGTCTATCAATGTATACAGTGTAAACTATGGCAGTGTTATTTTACATTTGATTACTTATAAAAAAAAAGAAAAAAGAACAAAAAGAACCGATAAAGCATACCTTATCTTAATACCTTAAGTACCGGATAGATAAGCAGTTTCGGTAAGAGTAGTAATGCCACTAAAACCTTAACGATACCCATCCCTAGTTATAGAAATATAATGTGTTGCCTTATCTGTGCGCTATTTGAAATGTGACTATGTATCCTGGGGTTAAAGTAGGCCGGAACAGTCAGTCCGGAACCTCAGATAAATTAATAAATAAATGGATTCATTAATATCAATGATAGAATGATGGTAGGCTATTGTTAAAAAAATGTCACGAGCACCATCAAATTGCAGCCTCTGAATGCCAGCGATTACTAATGCGTGAAATGCACTCCCGGTGATTGAGTATGGTAAAGTTAGTTTTAGGTTCGATGTTCACCGGACAGTGCCAGGGCTGAATTTTTGTTCATATTTACATTGTGAAAAACAATGTTGTGTTCCATTTTATTGTGGTGTTCAGAAATTTTAACAGAGTAGTCATCATATCAGTGTAGATGTAGACCAAAATAAAACTATTAAAATATCAAGGAAATAAGTATTGTGATATTTGGTGCCTCAGTGACACTCTTTTCCCCAGAAGTATTGCATTTTTCCCTGTTGCACCTACACAAAATTTAAGGGGTTCCCCCACCTGCAAAATCCCACTTTAACCACTATGTATCTGCTCTCTATCTAAACGTTTGCATGTTTTGTGTGTGTGCACAGGAAACGTGCAAGTACTAAATTGTTTTCTCTTTTGTGTCACTTGATTGGTTTAAAATCTTTCAAATATTTAAATCAGCAAGACTTGGAAACACATGCAAATAAATTATCACTTTATGATGGTAAAGTATGCAGTTAAGCCGCGCTTCACATGCGTGCCAAATCATGGGGCTCAGGTCCTACTTTAAAGCCTTCTTTTAAGTGTTTAAATGTCCCTGCCAAATTGCTTTCTAATTTCATTAAGTGCATTGTTATCCCCCATCTAGGGGTTGTGATGCAACACAAATGTGACTTTTTTATTATTACTTTATTTCTGTTGCTCCTCAACTAACACAAACAGGAAAAAGTATAAGAATGAACAAAACATCCCACACCTCTTACAGCTTTCTAGATGCTTTAACTTTTTTTTAGAGGCTTTAAAAAAATCTTGACTACAAAAACAAATCTACTCCTAGTAACTGCTAACTATGACGCTTGACATTTGGGTTAAAAGGACAACTCTCTCTTAAGATCATAGTTTACAAGTACACCAAACCAGTGTTGATCACTACTGAACTACCCATCTTGTTAGACAATCCTGAGGAAAGGAGATGCTGGTGTGCACTTAAGTTCAGGAAACCTTTCCAACCAAACCAAATGAACCTAAAATCACATGCACATGTCTGCACCAAAAGCTTTAATGTAAAGACACTTTTATAGCTATAAAGCACATGTAATTTGAAAAATATTTTCACTTTACAGTTATGTACAAAATACACAGTGAATACAGGTATCCTGACTGTTTAGTCTCTTACTGTTCACAGGCAGATAATGAAGAAACAAAGGAGCACCTATATGAAAGCCTGCTGGCAGAGTGTAGAGACACCATCCAGGCGGTCAGAGAGGAGATCAGGACTGATGTGGTGAGACGCACTACTGACACCACCTACACTTCTCTAAATGTGATTTGAGCAATAATAACTTGGCTATATGCATTGCATTGTCATTGCCTGATTGATGCATCTGTGTGTGATATATGGTAACTGGGGTGGGCAACATAGCCTCAATATTATATCACAATATTTCATGATTTCCATTACACAAGAGTAGATGTTAAAACCTCATGCTGATTTGTACTAGGCTTTCGCCAAGATAAGCAAAACTAAGACGTAGCTTTACAGTAAACTATGCTTCTCCATTCATTTACGCTTCTTTCCATATGGTGGTGTGACTCCCCTTCTGTCCGGCGTCTTCAAGTGGGCACCTTCCGTCCTCTGTGTTTCGTTGACTAGCCCACGACACCTCAAGAGGGCTCGACAGTGACTCAGAGTCACCCCCCTCTGTCCCCCACTCAACTCAGCCCAGCTTACTGACCTCCACATCCCTCCTGCTGCTGAGACCTAACCACAATCTCTCCGCAACCCAACCACACACACCAACACGTTTGACTAAGGCTGTCGAGCCCCACTGGTGCGTTAAAGCTGCAGTCGGCAAGTCTGGCAGATTGAGTGAACTTGGGCAACATTTTGAATGTTTACAACTCTCATGCCCCTCCCCACTATTAACGAATACCCTCCCACAGAGTTCGTGCTCGTCGGTGCGTGTGCACCAGCTTTTCTGTGAACACGCCTTTGTCTCATCTAGCCTGGTTCAACCAGACTCTCGTACATTTCATTTGTACATAGAGTCTGGCCTCTCTCCATTGGGAAACGTTTACTTCCTTGTAGGCGAGTTCTCTGTTAAAGTTCAAAACTATTGCATCTGCCCAGAGTCACTCAGGATCTGCCATAGCCAATCGCTAACGTGTGGTCGTGACGTATGTCATGCGCCGAAACGGCTGGAACAAGTCCGAATGATCAGAGGATTGTTTACAATAAGATGTCTGTCAACGAGAGCTGCAGGTTTTGTTCATCTAGGAACAATTATTAATTCGAAATGTATATTTGTATTAAAGGTGCAATGTGTAAATAAGTTGAGTATCTATTAACAGAAATGCAATATGACATCCATAACTATGTTTTCAGTGGTGTATAAAGAACTTACTTAACCGTAATGTTTTTATTACCTTAGAATGAGACATTAATAGCTCCATAACCGCGGGAATCCCCTTCTATGAAGGTCGCCATGTTGTGACGTCATATTCCTACCGTAGCCGAACGCGAACAAACAGCGCTACAGAACGCGTTTCATCACTACCTTGAAAGAGAAGTAGCGGAAAGCTGGAAGCTAGCCTTACACTCCGTGAGTAGTGACTTTTCCCTTGTGAGTGGTGTAAAATATGTAGTTGGGATTGTTTCATGTAACTTAGTTCTCCCTCGCTGTGTTATGGGTTTGTTATGTTGGGGATATATGTGCTGTTACGTTCGTGAGACAGCTGATGATTAGTATTCATGTCATTGACCGTAAAACAGTACGTTACAGGAATCACTAACCCGTCGATACAGACTTTTAGATCACTAAAGTCGATCACGAAGAGTTTTCAAAATCAGAGAAAAAAGCCTATTGTGTGTAGTAAATAGTATCTATGGGATGCGGAGATGACATGATTGTAACAGCGCGCGCACTTCCGACCTTTGGACTCATGCGATGCGGACGCGTCCCAGCTCAGCCACAGTAACAGCTCATATTAGCCAGCTAAACTATTACTACCCTGTTAGAAAAAATATATAGCTTCTCCCTCGCTGTATTATGGGTTTGCTACAGTATGTGTGGAGAAATGTGCTGCTGGTTACGTTTGTGAGACAATCAGCTGTTCATTCAATCAGCAATTATCATTAACAATATTGTTGTTTGATTTAATAATTATTGTTCAAAATGTTCAGACTGAACCAATAAAACATTTAAACAGGATAATTTGAATATTCACAAAATGTGTGGGTCTAGGTAAAAAATGTAGTTTTCCTGAAAACTACTGAAATGGATTTATAGCGTTTTGGAAAAGAGCTCTTCATATATATATATATATATTTAGGGCCCCCGAGCACTAACAGTGCGAGGACCCTATTGAAACTGTTAGTGCTCGGGCCCTAAAAATAAAATAACCCTAACAGTGCGAGGACCCTATTGAAACTGTTAGGATTATTTTTAGGGCCCGAGCACTAACAGTGCGAGGACCCTATTGAAACCATAGACATAATATATACATAGATGCCCTATTGGCCGCTTTGGAACGTTGCTGCGATACGTCAACGGGTCCGCCATTTTGCGGAGGTCAAGACTGCATTGTAATTAAATGTAAGTAAACGGGTGAGCTGCGTTTTTCTGGATAAAAACATTCTTGGAAAAGAATGGTGAAGATCCCCATACTGAGATATTTAAGTTTGCTCATTGTGGAAAAAGCATTTTATGTGATTGACCAGATTTTAGCAATAACATTGATAACTGATGGATCATTTATGATAATACATATGTTGTGGTACAACTGGGCATGCAGTGCAATGCAAATAGTAATTATAACAAAGTGAAAAGTAGGCTACTAGTAAATAGTTTAGTCAATAAAATAAACAAATAGTATACAGCAAATAAAATGGTAATGAATACATGTAAAAATATTGATAATAGTTTATTAATAATTCTATAATAATAGCAATAGAATAAGACATTTCAACTACAGAATAAACACACAAAAAATATATTTAATATTTAGCTCTTTGTGCTAAATTTCAGTTTTATTGATCAGTAATAGGCTAGCCATTATAACAGAAGTAGCTTCAGTCAAACATACAATGTTAAAATAGCCTAAATATAAAGTTATGAAACTTTACTTTGCCTTCAGCCAAAACTATTTACCAGGGAACCATTTATAGATTAATGAGACCAAAGATAAACACAAATTATACGAATTATATCTCATGCTTAACCTCTAGACTAGAGACATCCGAGCCAGCGGCAACCGTTAGAAGCACTGGCCGAGGTACGGCTGTTCCAGGCGGGGGAGACGAGCGCTGGGCGGGGGCGGGACATTGTCGACTGAAAAACTATTAAAACTACATTGCGTGACACAATAACAGTAGTATTTAATCTCTAAACTTTACTTACTAATTAAATCATGACCAAATACAACCAAAAACAAATGTTCAGTATTGCTTGTGAAAGGTACTTCCTCGAAAGCTGTTTTCAGTTGTGTGGCGATTTTTACAGCCCCAAGCAGCGCACAAAACAGGCATTTTTCTCAATTCCCGGTATGAGAGGTATGGGAAAGTTGATCTCCCCAATATGGCGGCGCCGTTGACGTACGCTCCAGCGGCCAATAGGGCGTCTATGTATATATTATGTCTATGATTGAAACTGTTAGGGTTATTTTTAGGGCCCGAGCACTAACAGTGCGAGGACCCTCTTGAAACTGTTAGGGTTATTTTTTTTCTTTTTTCTGCAAAGTAAGCGCCATTTTCGGGGCCGCAACATGCTCAAAAACTCACCAAATTTGGCACGAAATTTGGAAAAAACTCCGTATTTTGTGGGTTTCGCGGATGGGCGTGGCAAAATGGCTCCCTAGCGCCACCTAGAAAATTGGAAAAAATTAGCCCCTCGTCCACGTTCAACCTACAAACAAGAAATTTAGTGGTGACGTGTATCATATCAAGACGCACAAAAAAGCCTCAAGAACCCATACCCTAAACTCAACAGGAAGTCGGCCATTTTGAATTTGGCGCCCATTTTGGGACGATTTAAGGCGGGCGTACACGGTGCGATTTTTTTTTTAAATTTTTTTTTTGCTTTTTTACGAGCTCGCCGATGATTTTTTTTACTCGGGGGAAATCGCGTGTAAATCAGTTATGCTCGCATGTCGCGGCTCGTATCGTGTGCGAGGAAGATGCGCGCCGAGCACCTCTCGACCTCCCGATAATTTTTAAGCATGTCGAAAAAGTTCGGGAGCTGTCGGCTTGCATTCGTGAGGTGTATGCGGTTGAATGAGCCAATTTGTCGATCTATCTGAATTTGACCAATCAGGAGCTGAGGAAATCCAGAGAAGAAAGACGAAAATGGTGTGGACTACTAGAAACACTGCTTTAATTAATGTTTTTATGATGACTTTGTGAAAGGTTAACTAAACAGCATCTGCCGTGTTCCTACTGGCCAGTATTTGGCATATTTCATTCTGAAACAACTGTAGGCTATAATATTTTTGATGGTGCTATACATTTCTTACAGATTCTCACATCACGATGATCATTACGTTTGTATCTTCCTAAAAGCAATTATAGTTTGTCTACAGCCTAAGCTTTTTTTTTATTAATGCCGACAGAACAATGTTGCCAAATATTGCTACGAAAAACAAGCAAAAACTAACAAAAACAAAGAAATTATATAAAAATCCAAAATAAGTTCAAAGCTTGTGTTTTGAAAATAAGATAAATATATTACGAACCACTTTAATAACTTCCTAAAGTGTGACATTAATCCAAAAAACGAGTCCAGATACTGTCACCTTTCCATTATGTGGATCTGACATCACGTTATCTGGCACCCGCGCTCTCACTCACAACGCGCTCAAGCTCACTCAAGCCCCGTTCACGGCGATAGCTTCTCGCAGCAAAATGAATTGCAAACACTCACACATGAGGTGGATTAAACGGCTAATTAAAGAGAGCTTGAAATTTTATTTATGAATGTGTAGCCAACCGTAACTACGTTTTTTTAACTCATTCACACACACACACACAAGGGTGACCGGACGTCCTTTTCCCGGTGCTGAAAACGCAATTTTTGGATGATTTACGCACTACGTACTTTAACAGACTCCTCCAAGGAATTTAGTCGGATCGACTTCACATTTCTGCTGTGCCTTCTAAAGGCATTGACGATGTAAAGTTGTGCTATCTGCGCATTTCCGTCTTTGGGCGTGTCCGTGGCGTCGATGATTCGCCGTGAAACAGGAAGTTGTAGTAAATTGGCTGTAAATGCCAAGATCTGCACGAAATTG